ACCAATGTGTTAGAGTGGTTCAAGAGAAAGACGAGAAGGTACAAGCTGACTGGGCAACGGACGACGAAAACGACACCAGTGAAGTTTACCCCGAATTAGTCTCGTTAGAGGAGGCACTGCGAAGGTGCACACCCACGGGGAAAATGGAAACGGTTGCGAGATTTAACGAGATAGCGACAAACACGGAAACGGTGGCGAGGGTTAACGAGACAGCGACGAACACGGACAAAGATAGCGAGACGATTCGATGGAAACGAACACCCGCTGAAATTGCAAAGATGCAGAAAGAAGACGAAGCGTTCGCCCAAGTATTCCACTGGACAGGAAGAAGCGACGAGAAGATTGACATGCCGTCGTTGCGGACGAATCTCATCCCAAAATAGCAGGCAATTCAGTACGGACACAAAGCACTGGCCTATTGGTGAAGGTGGGATGAATTGAGAATTAAAGATGTAATACTCTACAAAAAGTATTTTCAGCGAGATGACTCGATGCCAAACCTTCGGACGATAATTTTAGTAGCGGGACGGAAGGAAATTCTTAGCCAATTCAATTTGATGGAGATTGGCGGAGCACAGCTTGCGGCTGAGAAGACTCTGGCTAGGATACGCCAACAATTCTGGTGGCCAACGTTGAGGATTGACGTTGAGAGAAAGGCAATCTGGTACCAAAAATGTGCACACCAGAGTACAGAAGGGAAGCAAGAGCGAGCGGCGGGTCAAGCCCCATTTGATCCGGGAATCAGATTCTCTACGGTGGCAGTGGATATCTTGGGACCAGTGACAATGGCGACGACCACCGGAGCGAGGCATGTGCTGGTAATGACGGATCTGTTCACGATGTATGCAGTTGCAGTTCCGATGGTGTCAACGGATTCAGCTGACGTGGCTCGAGAGATAGTGGAGAATTGGGTACTGACATTTGGAGTTCCCAACGTTTTGCGAACGGATCAAGGGAAGAGTTTTGAAGGCAACTGATCCAGGAGATGTGCCGACGTTTGGGTATTGACAAAACTCAGACTTCCCCCTACAATCCGCGAGCGCACGAGCGTACGGGGAGGCACAAAGCAAAGATGGCCGAAGTGGTTTTGAAGTATTGTGTGGAGAACCAATAGACGTGGGAGACAACTCTGCCGCACTTGAACTTTGTGCACAATACGACAATCAATCGGATAACGGGATATATGCAGTTCAGTATGGTGCTCGGACAAGAGTGCCAGTATCCAGTTGACCTGTTCTAAGCAAAACCCCGCGATGAACCATTGACAAAAGATGATTTTGCGGAATGGCTAGACGAGCAGTTCCGAGATGCACACGGCAGTGCAAGGAAAGTCCTAGGGATAGATCAAAGTCGACGAAAGGATCAGTACTGAAAGAAAATTCAATGGAACCCTATGCGACTAGTGACAAAAATTTGGTGTGGTCTAAAGAAAAATTCAAATCGAAGAAGACTTTCGATCCATGGGAGGGACCATACGTTGTAATGGCCAGGATGTCCGAAGTGACCTACTAGGTGGCAAAGCAATCGACTCTCAGTAAAGTGAAAGTCCTGCACTTCAACACGCTGAAGTGATATGTGAAATACACGGGGCAACCAGAGGAAGCTACTGCAAGGAAGCGACCGACACCATATCGGTCGGCGTACTTCTTCGAGGATCCGGAAATGCATATCGAAGACGATCCAATTTGGGCAAGCAATCGGGAGGGATTCAATCATGATCCAGGCCCATGGCTAGAACCCGTGGGATTGATGTCGCGAAGAAATCGAGTAGTAGTGGAGCCTCTAGTTAGCCCTCCCGGACTAAAAGAAGTCTTGCGACGGCAGAGCGACAATGTGAAGACCTATGACGAAAGGGAGATGAGAGCCAGAGGTGAAGAAGATGCCACGAATCTGTCGAGCTAAGCTGGGGGTAGTCCTCCGGGTGAGACGGTGGTGGTTGAACCTGTGATGGAAAGTGAAACTACAGATTTAGGTAGACCACTTCGAATAAGAAGGCCACCAGTTCCGTTTGGTATCGACGAGTAATTGAGTAAAAACTAATTTTTCACAAATTTTGTCACCCAAATCAATAGTGCTAGAACTTACCCAAGTGCGACTCCACCTGAGTATTTTATGTGTAACTGTTGAGCATTAACTCTGTTGAGTAAGAAAGACGTTGGGTCGCACCACGAAGAGTAAAGTTATTAAAAATCAAATCCCCTGATTAGGATCCTTTTATCAAATGGTGCTTAGTAGTTGATTTTTTTTAGTCTTGGGGGAATTGACTGACGGGTCCGCGATCAGGTTTTAGGAGTTGTATAACTGAAACTAGGAAAGACTAGTATAAGATTAGGCATCAGCGTAATAATTATCTTGCAGACTGGTAAATGGGAGCAAAAGACAGGAGCGTTTACCTTGTTGTTAGGATACATGCAAGCTTAACAGAAATTTATATTAGATTTAGTAGAAAGGTTAGCTACATAAAATTGAGTATACTTTGGGGTTATTATATTGAACAGGTTTAAATTAGCTAGTAGAAAGGCAAAAAGTTGGATTGTGTCTTCAGCATTATTAGGGGCGATAATAAACTAGAAGGGAAGACTGTAGGATCGGTGATCCTAATCTTTTTTTTCGCCTAACTCAAATTGCGTTTGAGAGCTTTACCTTGGTAAATGCATGCAATATTTTAAAGCTAATGGGGAGCGCGTGCTATGAAGATTGTTTAGTCAAAAAGATGAGTAGAAAAGTAAACAAACAGTGAAGTCCAAAATAGTTCGAATCTCCAATTTTGGCGTAATTCGACCCCTAATAAGCGAATTGCATTCCCCTGATAGCTAGAAGGTCGGGATCGGAATAGAGTATACATCGGAATTTTAGATACTTAGAATGGGTTAGCAATCTATAAAAAAGCGTCTTCCCCATCCCCTGGGAGGTCGGAACGCTAATGGGATAATTAAATAAGAACCTTTGTAAGATTGGTTAATTAAATACAACTCGGTTTGGAGGTGAAATTAGACTTGATATTTGTACACTTAGTTAGAGAAACTTAATGAACTTGGAACTTAAGACTATTGTCGTCAGAGGAAGAATTCAGTCAAGACCTTACAAATAGGGTACCAAAGTAAATATCAGGACCTGTAGGGACGACATAACAATAACTATAACTAAAACTCGAATAGACAAACATTAGAGAGAATAGCAAGTAGCCTACCCTTAGGCAGAACAATTGTGCTGTGAGAGCGAACGGTTGGTTTTCAGTTAGTTAGAGAACAATTATTGCTAAAAAGAGACAGTAGTTGGTTCTCAGTTAGTTAGAGAACAAAGATAACTAGTAGTGAGATTAGTTGGGTTCTCAATGGTTAGAGAACCAGAAATCGCGAAGTAAGGAGATCAGTCAAAGTACCTCAAAGAAAAAGTGATCTTTAGTGACATTATTAATTTTAGCAGGTCGGACTGAGTGATTGAGTGGAATTACTGTGAGTAGTTCGTTAATTAGGATAATCTAGAGAAAACAGAATTGCAATTGTGTTGATTGATCGCGGACCCTTCCTTTTGATTAGATTACTAGATTATTGTCAGGTCGTCTAGCGCCTTCTGTATTTGCACCAACATTTATCTGAATTTATTAACTAGAGGAAAATCTTGCGATCAGCGAGAGTCAGCGAGACAGCCTCAAGAGCAGCATAGAAAGGGGGCAAGTAACAGAATACAGTAAAGAATAGTTGTCACCAACTTAACCCTTTCGGGATTGTGGATAGTAGTGAATTTCGGTTGCCCCGCTGAATTCATTACCAAAGGGACCTCTTTGCGGTGCCGTTAAGTTAGAGTGTGTTAACGGACCTAGAAAAGCAATCCCGAAATCTAACAAAAACGCCACTGAAGAATCTGAAAACGCTGCGCATGTTGATAACCGGCGTAAATTTTGACCCACTGCAAACTATCAAAACAAACCGTCTTTAATCGGTTATCATAAAAAAATTTAAGATAACAAAACAATCAATCTAATTCTGAGTTATTTGATCATTGAGTGTCCGAAAGCTAACAATACTCTGCGAATTTTCTTGAAAACAAAGAAAAGAATTGAAAATTTGAGGTTTCATTCAAATTGAAACCCTTTTGATCTATTGAAACTGATTTTTTTTTTCTATCTGAGAATAAGGTCACCTCCGCTACCCTTTTTTCAATTTAAGTTTGACCAGTGCTAAATAGTGTCAATCACGATTGTTTCTGGTAATTTTTCAACAAATCCATAGATGACGACGATTCTATTAGCACTTTACGTCGAAAAACTTTAACAAAAAAGGAAGGTGTGGAAAAATTAGACATTAAACTTTTATAACTTATATTGATTTTGTAAACTTTTCTCGCTCTCACTTATAATAACTCAAAGCTTCGAGATGTTCTTAGGCACCATTGTATTCAAATCAATCATACAATTTTTTTTCTTTTTTCTCGCACCAAACCAGAAATTATTACAGAAATGTGAAAAAATATGAGTTTCGTTTTCTTCATCTGTAAACATAAAAATCGATTTTTTCTCAAGTTTTGTGAGTACTTTGCCTTCCCGTAATTGTTTTGAAGCGTCCCATCGACAACAATTTAGTTTTTGCAAACAGAAACTTGATAAAGCACGATATGAAACTAAATCAGTTTTTTCTTAAACAAAATTTGGCATTTTCATTTGGAATGCGATACTTTTATGATGAATTTTATTACCACATCAGGATGAGGGATTTTTGACGTTAATTTTGTTTCATTTTTGACAAAAAAATACAATGTTTGAGAAGTCGAAAAATGCAAACCGTCGAGCTGACTAATTACAGAGCCTCAAAAACTCCGTTGTAGGTCATTTATTTTTGAAACGAGCCAAAATCACGCTTTTTTAGTTCTGTCTCAACTCAGTTTAGTAACAAAAAACTATAATCTCGCGTCTCACCAAAGTACAAAAAAAAATTCGGAAGGGCTATAATGAACAAGATTAGGATTTTTATCTTCATCTGCCATCTATGGTATCATATGACTTGTTGCTGCTAGGATTCACGGAGAGCCCCCCTCTCCTTGTCCCCCCAGTGCCCACACTGTTCGCAGTTGAAGATGCTGTGGGTCCCTGGTAGACTTTCTCCACCCCTTTCAGTTTAGCGATGATCGAAATTTGCCACCATCTGCGAAACGGCTCCTGGAACCTGAAACACTGCAGCGTATATACTCCAACTGATAGAAATTTTTGATTATGAAGCAACCCCCCCCCCCCCCAAAAAAAAACGCACACACGTCGTAATACGACTGACAGATCGCAACAAAAGACAACTCGGAAACGTTAAGAAAATAGGCAACTGGAATAAATATATATTCAACTGAAATTATCTTTTTCATTACCACGCAAAACGCCGCTCTATGTAACAAAAAAAACTCTGATTGAAGCGCACAATATCACATTGTGCGATACGTTGTTTTTGTTGCGAATAAAAAGTTGTAAACATATCGCTCTAATTTAGCGAGTTTTTTGTTATTAGATTTGTCGAGCTCCCCTCGCCGCACTGGAGTTTCATGGATAATAACCGATTACATTCAAACTATGTAGTCTGTCTCGAAAGTAAAATTCCAAAAAAAAGTAATTCTAGTTGATTAAAAATGGATAATATAGTGGATAATAATACTCCCCAGTAGTTTGAAAAGTTTTTTTTTCATACTTGCGTGAGATGAATAGAATGAGAAGAGGGCTGACATATGCATGTGAGAGGAAACTCAAGGCCATCATCTCCTGCATGATATAATAGAACATAGTCTGGTTGTAGTACTCGAAGTTGAAGTTGTCCATAATCGTGTTGTCGTAGAAAGCGACTGCGGTCTGCGGTGCCCAACACACCATCCAAAACACTGTCGACAAAATGAGGGCGATGGTAAGTTGTCGGTTACGAACCTAATTGTAAACAAAAGCAAGCACAAGCAACAGTAGTGAATTCGGAAGCAAATAGCACAGAAAGTTCCGACCACTTTGCTCCAATTTCATTTGCATAAAAAAAGAATATCAATTTTTGTGAGGTAGGATGGTGTATTTTAACTAATACTTATAGCTGAGTTCACATTATAACCATTAATACCATTAAGAATATCTTGGTGATTCACCAGCGGATTTGGGGGGGGGGGGGGTGGATGCACCCTCCCCTTCAGGGATTCGACCCCCTGCCGATCCAAAGGGTCCCCCCTTTGAACTATTTCGAGATATCCATTTTTGGCTGACTGAATTTAAAATTTTTCTGGAGGCGCTTTCTATTTCTAAATGCGCCTTCAGAAAATTTGGTTAAAATGGGGTCTCTATAGTGATGTGCGAGAGCTCGGAAAATCAATTTGGTCGACCTAAAAAAAGTCGAAAAAATTTCCGAATTTTTTTGAAAATCCGCCCCTCCCCCCTCGAGAAACCTAGATCCGCCACTTTGCTGATTCGTTAATTTAGATTATTTTTTTTGCTGAATAAAAATTATCATATGACATGTCTGTTTAAAAAAAGTTCAACCTTCTTGTTTCGATATCAAGAAAAAATATGGAGAAAAATACGCCCATTTACCAAGTTTTTTTCCCACTGCAGAATAGCTTTTAGTTGACCAAACATCATTCAAATGATACTTTTCCGTGTCAGAAGTATATTTTTGTTGTATATAGAAGGTGTGAAGGATATATAACTTTGTTTCGTGAGTAAAGTGCAGCTAAATCCCCTAACTTTGATTCAGAAAAGAGATGAGGGCTCTTTCAGATGGCCATGTTGCATAATATTGACATTGATCAGCAGTTTTGGGTTTTTTAGGGTAGACAGAAATTTTATGCTCATTAACGATTCCAATTTTTCCAAATTAGCTGAGATCGCTTATTCAATTGCCCATTTTTTGTGCAAAAAGATCGCAAGCAACATATTTTTTTCTACTTACTTCTAAATTTCGGCCCATGCGAACGAATTCCTCCCTAAATTATCCAACTTAACGATTATTTTCCTAAAATAAACCGCAAATGGTTTCAAAAAGGTGTTGAAATAATTCAAAACTGTCCCAATGGCTCAAAGTCAGTTGTCTCAAAAATCAGATGCTCAAACATATTGGCTGAGAATTCTCTTCTATAATACTCCATAAAGAGCGAAAAAACACTTTTTTTGGAAAATAATCACTAAAATTTGTATCCTGAAGTTATTAGGTCTATCAATTAATCAGAATGACTTTCGCCACAAAACTTTATTTTAAAATTCTATTTGCTTAGGATCCTCGAGTACTGATGGTTCTCTAACACATTTTTTAACGTGCTGTAAAGACCCATGATCGATCATTTTTTTTCACAGTCAGGCCAAGTAGCTTCGATCGGCAACAAATCTGTAGCCGAGACAGTGGGTTGGAATGAAACCGAAGTCCAAGGATACCGACCTTTGATCGGAAACCATCCTAATCTAATCAGATTTTTTCAAAAACTCCTAACTTTGGTCAAGAGCTGGCAACATTTTGCAATTCTTAACCTATGTATAGTTCAAACCAAGCATTTCATCAAAACTTTGACCTGATATATAGTTAAGGCTATCAATTAATTATCAGGTTTTACTAATCGTGTCGGTTGAAACTTAATTGAAAATTGAATCAAACTAAACTTCTAACAAGGATAGCTTGTTGTTGCACAAGTTGCAATGAATTTTCCGACCAAAACATATAAAGATGAACAAAAATTTTTTGTTTTTTTTTCCGTCAAATGAGTATAGTTTTTACGGGTGGTTGGATAAATTTCTATAGTATGCAAAGGCCTAAATTTTAGTGAATCACAAACAAAAAAAGTGAAAAAAAAAACGAATACCGTACAAAATTTTCAAAATATTTTGAATACATTTTTTGGCAAGGAAACGGTAAATGAAGCTTTTAAGATTAATTTTTTGTTTTGCTAAAATCAATTTTGCTTAGCCCTAATGACCATTTTTTATAAATCGAACGATATTTGATTGCTTTAATAGCTCAAATTTAGACGTTGGAAACACGGCTGAAATGTATCTTATATGCTATATCACTCGTACCACTCCAACGACTTTTGCGTATACTGAATTTGTAAGTAAAACAAAGAAGCAAAAATTACTAGAAACGTGAACACAAAATCTCCCGCCTTCCCTTTTTCAAAAATCAATAAAAAAAAAGATTTTATCAAGGCATTTTTTTTAAATAATTTTTTTTTTCAAGTTTCAAAACTTATACATTTCGATCAAAAACCTTATCAGATTTATAACGAAAATTCAACCAAAGATCAACTTACCTAAACGCCAAGGGCAACAAACTAGAGTTTAGGTTTGAATATAACGAAAACTTTGCAATCTCGTATTTTCTTTTTGCTATATTGTGGCCAACGTTGAGATCAGCTCTGTTGATCCATCAGTAAACTAACCAGGGCGGATTTAGGGGAAAGGGGCTGGGGGCGAACGCCCCCCAACCCTTCAGGGATTCGACCACCTGCCGACCCAAAGGGAAGGGTCCCCCTTTGTACTATTTTGAGATATCAATTTTCGGCTGACGGACCCTAAAATTTTTCTAAAGGCTACTTCGATACCACAATATACTAGTTTTGAAGATGGAGCGCTCGCCAAAAAAAAACAACATTTTTGTTCAAAAATTTCCAAAAAGTGCATTTTTAGCGCTAAAGCCAAAAAACGCTTTTTCTGGCCTGTTTTCCTGCGGGGCAGAAAAATTGGCCAAAAGGTGTCTTTTTAGAGAGAGCTTTGTGAGAGCTCGGAAAATCAATTTGATTGACCTTAAAAAAGTCGACACATTTTTCGAGACTGTTTTGAAAATCCGAATCACACCCCTCTCGAGAAAATTCTAGATCTGCCGCTGTGCAATCAAAAAACTAACATCATCTATAGAAGAGACTGTTGATTAAGAGAATTAGCGGGCTCGTCTACTGTGAATGGTAATCAAAAAATTTTGTTGAAAAGGAAATGCAAAAATTTCGTTCGAAATTGTTTAGCGACAGTTATGCAAAATACACTAAATTTAAATCAAAACAATCAATTACTGTTCAGACATCGTACCCGTCTAAACAGCTTTCAACTTTACAAGCAAAGAAACCGACAGTTTCAACCATAAAATTTTAGGTAAAGTCTTCAAGTAAGACTAAAGATGATGAAAATCTGATGCAAATTTAAAGCTAAATAAGCCTGGGGTGTCTCCTTTAATGTTTTGGGCATTTTTTTTTGAAATTCTAATCATCAGTTTCAAGCCATCCTGCACTGGAGTTCCATGAACGATAATCGCTTATATTGTCATTTTATAATCAGAATATGTGAAAATACAGAAAAAATCGATTAAAATTCATCAAAAATGGACTACAATCCTAGTATTTTTTGCCAACATAATCCATTATAATCGATTATAAACAATTATAATCCATTATAAATGGATTCTAATCATTATCATTTTTTGCGTATACTGAACTTGTGCGTAAAACAAAGGAGCAAAAACTACAAAAAATTTAATCACAAAATCTCTCGCCCTCCCATTTTCAAAAACAAATTTAAAAAATTTTACCAAAGCTTTTTTTTAAATAATTTTTTCAAATTCCAAAATTTATAGTTTTCCATCAAAAACTTTAATAGATTAAAAGTTGGCAAATTCAACCAAAGATCCAGCTACTTAAACCTTAAAGACAACAAACTACAGTTTAGGTTTGAGCATAACGAAAAATTCGCAATCTCATTTTTGCTTTTTGCTATATTGTGGCCAACGTCGAGATGAGCTCCATTGATCCATGAGTATGCTAACTAGGGCGTTTTCAGGGGAAGGGGGCGGGGGGCGGACGCCCACTACCTCTCAGAGATTCGACCACCTGCCGACCCAAAGGGATCCCCTTTGTACTATTTTGAGATATCAATTTTTGGCTGACGGACCCAAAAACTTTTCGTAAGGCACCTTCGTTACCATAATATGGTATTTTGAAAGTGGAGCGCTCGCCAAAAAAACGCTAAAGCTTTGGAAACTTTTAGTCCAAAATTTCCAAAAATACATTTTTTGCGCTAAAGCCAAAAAACGTTTTTTTTCTGGCCTGTTTTCAAACTTTTGCCTGCGGGGCAGAAATTTTAGCCAGAACGGATTTTTTTTAGAGCTCTGGGAGAGGTCAAAAAATTAATTTGATTGACCTTAAAAAAAGTCGAAACTTTCGAAATTTTTAAAATTTTCGAAATGGTTTTGAAAATCCAAATCCCACCCCCCTCGAGAAAAATCTAGATCTGCCCCTGTGCAAACAAAAAATTAACATCAATTATAGAAGAGACTGTTGGTTACGAGGATTAGCGGGCTCGTCTTCTGTGAATGCTAATCAAAAGTTTTGATAAAAAGGAACTGCAAAAAATTCGTTCAAAATTGTTTAGCGACAGTTAATACACTAAATTTAAATACACTTAATTTAAATCAAAACAATCAATTACTGTTAAAACATCGTACCCGTCTAAACAGCTTGCAATTTTACAAGCAAAAAAACCGACAGTTTCAACCATAAAAAGTTAGGTAAATTCTTTAAGTAAGACTGAAGATGATGAAAATCTGATGCAAATTTGAAGCTAAATAAGCCTGGGGTTGTCTCCTTCAATGTTTTTGGCAATTTTTTTTTAAATTCTAATCATCAGTTTAAAGCCATCCTGCACTGGAGTTTCATGAACCATAATCGCTTATATGGTCATTTTATAATCAGAATATGTGAAAATACAGAAAAAATTGATTAAAATTCATCAAAAATGGACTACAATTCTATTATTTTTTGCCAACAGAATCCATTATAATCGATTATAAAAGATTATAATCCAACATAAATGGATTCTAATCATTATAATTTTTAAATTATTATAATCCATTATTATAGATTTTAACCGCTGATAATTTTTTGTCTGAAAAGAAATTATCTCAATTGTTGTTT